GACACTGCTCCAATGGAATCAGATAATCAAATGATGCAGGAAGAGGAGAATCTGGAAATCTCTATGAATGCTATTACTGGCTGCATTAGCCATAATACATTAAGGATTCAAGGAACAATTCAAGGCAGACCACTCAGTATTTTGATTGACAGTGGGAGTACTCACAGTTTCCTTACTCCACAGTGGGCTGATGCTGGTATACATATACTTACATCTTATCCTTTGGCCATTACAATAGCCAATGGATAACTTTATAGTTCAGCAAGGTGTAATAAGGTGGAGTGGCAAATGCAAGGGCATTCTTTTGTACATGATTTCAGACTCCTGAAGCTAGGTGACAGTGATATGGTGTTGGGGGTGGACTGGATGAAATTATTCAGTCCTATTTTGATGTATTTTAATCAAATGACACTGAGTTTTCAACATCAAGGGGAAAATATTACTATACAGGGACAACAACCATCTATTTTTTACAGCAAATTTCAGGGGCTACTCTATTGAAAATGACAGCTTCAGACTCATCTATTTTGGGACAAATGGTTTTGTTGACTATGTCTGAAGAAGAAAACCTATTCCAGCAGCTCTTCAACTGCTTTTAGAGAGGTATCAATCTATTTTTGCTGAGCCTATTGGTTTACCACCTCCAAGGACTCATGACCATATTGTTAGTATGCTTTCAAACTCTATTATTTAGCCTAGCAGGAGTCCATTTGCTTCTCCATGCCTTCTTATCAAAAAGAATGATGGTACTTGGAGATTCTGTGTGGATTATAGGAAATTGAATAGTATGACTGTCAAGGATAAATTTCCTATACCTGTGGTTGAAGATCTATTAGATGAATTACATGGAGCAGTTTATTTCTCAAAGATTGATCTCAGATCTAGGTATTGGAAAATCAGAATTAAGTCTGAGGATATATACAAAACAACATTCAGAACTCATCAAGGCCATTATGAATTTAAGGTAATGCCTTTTGGGCTTACTAATGCCCCTGCTATATTTCAAGCCTTAATGAATGAATTATTTAGTTCATTCCTTATAAAATTTGTCTTGGTGTTTTTTGATGATATATTAGTCTATAGTACTTCTATGAATGATCATGTTACTAATTTACAACTGGTTTTAGCAGTACTGCAAAAGAATTAGCTATTTGCCAAGCTGTCCAAATGCTTCTTTGGACAGACTCAAGTTGAATACTTGGGTCATATTATTTCAGCTGTTGGAGTATCTACAGATCCTAAGAAGGTAGAAGCTATGAGGAATTGGCCAGTACCTAAATCATTAAAGTCCTTGCGTGGATTTCTGGGACTAACAGGCTATTACAGAAGATTTATAAAAGATTATGGGTCAATCAGCAAGCATCTGACTCAGATGCTCAAAAAAGACAGTTTTAAATGGACTAATGCAACTTTGAATACTTTTGAAGAATTGAAGAAGGCTATGTGTGTTGCTCCTGTTTTAGCCTTACCAGATTTTGGTAAGAGCTTTTATTTAGAAACAGATGCAATTCAGGGGGCATTGGTGCAGTTTTATCTCAAGAGGGTAGACCTATTGCCTATTTAAGTAAAGCTCTAAGTCCTAGACATGCAACACTCTCTATTTATGAAAGAGAGTATCTTGTTATACTTTTGGCAGTCTCTAAGTGGAGGCATTACTTGGAGAGTAAATCTTTTGTAATTAAAATAGATCATAAACCACTAAAGTAATTATTGGAACAGAAACTGACTACTGCCATTCAAAAGAAAGGATTGACTAAGTTAATGGGGCTGGACTACAGTATTCAGAACAAGAAGGGCAAGTCAAATGTTGTTGCTGATGCCTTATCTAGGCAGTGGGAAGATCAAGGTCAGTGTTTTGCTATGGGCACTACCATAATCATTCCTAGTTGGGTTCAGGATGTGGAAGGAAGTTATAAGGAAGATTCTGTAGCTATGCAATGGATTTCAGTCTTATCTGTTAATCCTAATGTTGATATTAAGTGGAAGTATTCGAGAGGTATCCTTAGATTTAAGGATAGAGTTTATATTAGGACTGATGGGTCTCTTGGACTACAAATACTTCAGACACTACATGATTCACCTTATGGTGGTCATTATGGAAGTCAGGATACCTATAAAAGGATTAGGTCTTACTTCTATTGGCCTAGGTTGAAGGCCATGGTAGTTACTTATGTAAGAACATGTACAGTTTGTCAACATACTAAGGTAGAGCATGTGGCTAAAACTGGACTATTACAGCCCTTACCTATTCCTCATCAGGCTTGGGAAGTAATTACTATGGACTTCATTGAGGGTTTGCCTACATCATTGAGAAAGAATTGAATTTTTGTAGTGGTTGACAAATTTACTAAATATATCCATTTTTTGGCACTAGCACACCCTTATACAACTGTTGATGTGGCTAAATTATACCTATATCAGATCTATAAGCTTCATGGCCAGCGTAAGATGGCCATTTCAGACAGGGATAAGACTTTCACTATCCTCTTTTGAAGAGAGCTAATGAAGCAGTTAGGGACTCAGACCTTATTTAGCACTGCTTACCATCCTGAAACTGATGGACAGACAGAAAGGGTAAACCAGTGCTTAGAACAAAATCTAAGGGGTCTGTGTTTTTTCCAACCTAAGCAGTGGGCTAAGTGGTTGCCTCATGCTGAATGGTGGTATAATACTACCTACCATACTGCTCTTAAACTGAAACCTTTTGAAGTTCTATATGGCTATAAGCCTCCTACAATGGTATGGCAGATAGACAGTCCAGTGCAAGCAATATCAGAATTAATGTAGAGCAAAGAAGATATCAGGCAATTAGTAAAGTTTCAGTTAGAACAGGCTCGCAATAGAATGAAGCAACATGCAGATAAAAACATAACAGAAAGAACTTTTCAAGTGGGAGATTCAGTTTACCTGAAATTACAGCCGTACAAACAAACTTCTATTACCCTGCGAAGGAATTTAAAGTTAGCAACACGATTTTATGGACCTTACAAAATTGTTGAAAGAATTGGAGATGTGGCTTACAAACTGGATTTACCTCAGAACTCCCATCTACACCCAGTTTTTCATATGAGTTTCCTGAAGAAACACATGGGTAACTCAGTCGTTTCTTCGACGGAGCCTCCTTCCATAGACGAAGAAGGTCAAATACGAATAGATCCTTATAAGATTATGGGCAAACGAATAATAAATCGACAAAACAAACTTGTCTCATAGTTGTTGGTGCGATGGAAAAACCTTGATGAAACCAATGATACGTGGGAGGATTACACTATTCTCATAAGTCAATTTCCAGGCTTTGATCCTTGGGGACAAGGATCGTTTCCAGCGGTGGGTACTATGATGGTTGGAGGAGATGAGCGTGGAGATGTAGTAGAAATTGGGGAAAATGGAAATCAAAGGTTAGGGATTACGGCATGAGAGGGGATTGAAAATGGGGAATTAGGGATTAAAGAAAATTGTTACAAGGACAACCAGCTGGCACCCTTTATATTTACGTTTTTAGCCCTGTAACTAAATAAGACTGGATGGAATGTAATTGAATTCTCAGATTATGAATGAAGCATCTTTTCTATTCTCTAAAATTCTCTCTTTTCTATTACCTCATTCTTGTGTTCTTCTCTAAATCTCTCAAACTACAACAGATAATGACCAACAAACTGAAGACATCATAGGAAAACAAACAAACAAATGGGTGCATTTTGTGTTTGTTTTTTTTGCTCGGATATGGTGCCACTGTCATGGCAGCTGCTTCTCTGTTTTCTCCATCAATCTGGTCAAACACTCTTTCTAATCTGAAACCTTCTCTCCTTTTGCATAAATAATCTACTTATTATTCCATTGCTTTTCTTGCATTGCCTTCTGAACTCACCTTGTACAGATATTCTTTGTTCCCATGTTAATTCGGAGGACACCATGCTGGCATTTGGAAGAGCGGCTTATAGATAAATGACAGCACTAATTGCTATAGTATACCAAGTAGTCTAGATAGCTTCAAACTTCTTATCTTAATCCAGATAATATATATTGACACTGAATTGGCTTGATTTCAAGCATCGTCAAGTTTCACGATCTAGTTACTAAACAAACGGGCCTGCATTTCATCCACTGACTACTGATGTATAGTTGCTCAGATTTCTAGTTAACTGCAACAAGACTAACGAGGATACCGTAATGCAAGTAGCATGCATGCTTGGTCTATTAAAAGGCTAAAGATAACCCTTCAAAGCTGAAACTTGTGCTCCACCCGGAGTGTTTTGCAACTTTCCTGTTTTGGAAATCCTAAAACCATCAGTAATGAATCATCTTTCCCAGCTAAATTTCTTTGATTGTTTGTCATCAACTCATGATAGCTTGAATGACACGGCTAGCTCTGTAAATAGATAACTTTTGTAAACCTTTGCATGTGAGATCAGGGAAGAGCGACAGCGAGACAAGAAAACTGTGTTCAACACCTTTAAAGCTCTCACCACTTGATAAGAAACCTTCCTGCAACACAAAATTTTAATGGCAGCCGGAGCAAAACCAGCAATTCCAATGCATGAGATATAATGATGCTATCAACAATTTGTTTCCGTTAAGTCCTGCTCAGTTTTTTTTTTATATGTTTTTTATTTACTCATTCAGTCTTTCGTTTATGGATCTAACAAGACAGCCTAAAAAAGGATCACTAGTGTAGTTAACCCTTTTATATTGACCTGTCGTTAGATAGACAAGCGGTAACATTGATCTTTCGGTAACTGAAATTCCATGTATATCTCTGAAGTCAAAACTCCAATCAGAACCGTTGGATTCTCAAATTTGAGATCTTTGCCGTCCAATATTCCTATAAATGTACATATAACTGGTTCATTTCTAGGTTATATTATTCCAGGATTCTCTGCCTTTGTTTGAGCCACTATCGTGGTCAATTGGAGACCTAAATGAAAGTTTTTGAATCCAAGCCATGCTTTATTTCATGCTTGACTAGATCCGGCTGTAACCGGAGTATAGATGTCTAGTAGTTTCATTTTAGCGCAATTTTTTAGCATCGGCTATTATTTCACTCTTGCCCAGTTATGGTGGGTAAAGAGGATCTGAATGATGCTTATATTAAAGTTCGGAGTTTTTAGTTCTCTCTGAATCTTCATTCATGGTTCTGGAGTTCGGGAACTCCTAAATTTCTTGAATATAGATATAGTTGTTTTATTTGACCGCATTTTTTTAGCATCGGTATTACTTCACTCTTGCCCAATTATGGTGGGTAAAGAGAATCTGAGTGATGCTTATATTAAAAATGGGAGTTTTTTTAGTTCTCTCTGAACTATCCATTCATAGTTCTTGGAGTTCGGAACTCCTAAATATTCATCTGGCTTGAATCATATGTATGTTGTGTTCTCGGGAATTATTTGAAAAGAAAAACTGATACAATTGCATTAAAGAGAATGATTGCATCTGGGCGTTTAATCACAAGGGCCAATTTTTCTTTTCACCGAGGAATGTTTTCATTTTTTTATTACTTGTTGTTTCTTACATTTTGGGTAATCTCGAGACAAATCAATTTTGGCACTAGGATATATCTTATACTTACCGTGTTCACACACTGTGATTATTGATACAGTGGATCTCATGGATAACTGTTCTGAAACTGCTGTCGACCAAAGTCCCACGAGGTGAAAGAGTCGATGATATCAGTTAACATGAGCTACGTAAACATTTTACGACTGTATTTTCTTATTCTGACATTTAGCTAATGTTTAACTGAGACTGTTTCAAGTGGATCAATCTCCAAATGCTTCGAATGGCAATGACTAGAAAATCTCCAGATACTTCAAATGGCAATGACTAGAACAAGGGCGACGCTATGAAGCTCTACTTGCATAACCAAGGTCCCCTTGCTCGAGTTTCGGAATCTTCTATGATGCTTTAGTCAAGGGGTGGATGTATCAGCTACAATAATAAAAGAAATGAAAAAAAAAATTCATATTCTTAAAAGAATCAACTACCTACTTTATTTTGGAAATTTATTACTTTAATTTAATATATTAAAAGAAATGAAAAAAATGAAGAAATTTTATATTCTTAAGAAGCATATTAAAACTTTGGCTTGCGTTGCCACAATATAAAGGCTTGGAATTAGGGTTGAGCAACGAAATCGAGAAAATCGAAAAATCGACACGAATCGAATAAAATGGTTCAGTTTGATATATATGATTCGATTTTCTATTCGGTTTAAATCTTAATTATTTTGATTCAGTTCGGTTTGGGTTTTCCTGGAACCCATTTGTTCCATATTGAACCGAATAGGCAAATTTTTTTTTAAAAAAAATTATAGTTTCACGTGATTTTTTCATTGAAAAATCGAAAAACTGAACCGAACCAAAAAATCTGAACTGTTTAAAAAATCGAACCGAACCGAACCGAAAAAATTGAAATCGATTTTTTCGATTTTTAACCATTCGGTTTCGATTTAAATTTTGAAAAACTGTTTATTTCGGTTCGATTCAATTTTTGATAAAAAACCGAACCGAACCGAATACACCCCTACTTGGAATAAGTTAAGATGTGAGTTGTTCTTTGCTTGCCTTTCCGCCTACAGGCACATATTTGATGGTTTGAGTTTCGATTCACTATTTGATTTCTCTTTTCATATATAAAAATATATAATGTCAAATAAATTCATTAAATTACAGCAAGGCTTGGAATTAGTTTCAATTTTTACTTTGAAAATAAATTTATTTTATGTTTTTTATATTGGATAAATTTCAAAATTTTTTAAAATATTTAAAAATAATAATTTTGAAACAATAAAAATGATTACTTTTTTTTATGTAATAAAATAAATTCATTTTATGTTTTTTTTTATTGGATAAATTTCAAATTTTTTAAAATATTTAAAAATAATAATTTTGAAAAAAATAAAATGATTACTTTTTTTATCTAATAAAATAAATTAGTGTTATATTTGAAATATAACATTTTATATAAAAAATTAAATTAATTTAGTTTAGTGTAGATAATCGCAGTTTTTATTCTATAAGCTATCTAAACACGCAATCAATACTGGGAATGGTAACTTGTAAATCGGCAAAAACCCACAAGTCCGGATATTATGGCCCAGAAAGCAAATGTGCTTTCCTTCAATATTGATTGGCTGTCAAATCAAGTCCTCTATCTTTTAATCTTTTGAAACTTAAAAGCCCTATTATTGTCTGCTTCTACTTGATATTCTTCTTCTTCCTCTCTCCTTTCTTCCTCTTTCAGCTGTTGAGTGGAGATCGCTTTCACACAGTTCCGGTGAGTCATCATTTAAAATCTCTTCTCAGAAAGTTCTTCCACTACTTTCAATGTTTCTACTTTCTATACCAACTAATTTTAATCGGGTATGATAGACAATCACCCCTCATTATTTAATATGATTTACTTATCGAGTGAGATCGGGAAAAAGAATATAGAGGAATTGTATTACTTTCAACGTTATCAAGTTTCACTTTTCTCTTTTCCCATCATTTTCTCACCAACCAATCACGGTGGTTTTCGTTCCAAAGTGTTCTGCTTTCGTCTCGTGGTGTAGTTGGGTTCTTTCCAATGATTGCCTTTTCTTTCAACGTGCACTGGTTTTGCAGGATTATTTTTGTTAGAGTTTACCCAATTTCACTTATTCGTAGTCTTAGGAATCTATAATTACAATTTCGGAAGCTAAATCCGTGCCCTTGAAATCAGGAAAAAGATGGGGATTGTTGAGAGGATTAAGAAATTGAAGCCTAGATGGCTCGAACCCAGAAAATAAGGCCACAGGCAGTGTTCATATCTCTTTACATGCGTAAGTGCTTGTATATATTAACTTTTTATTTTTTACCTCATTCCAAAACCTTTTTATTTTATTTTGATAATATTTTATCTTGTGGAGAAAAACGGAATCTGGTAAATATTATTTCGTTAATATTTACTGAATACGCAGAGTACCATCTTGGTCAGCTCAAGGCAAAGATTGCAAAGCTAAGGACACAATTACTAGAGCACAAAGTATGAATATTCATATCTAAACATGAATAGATTGTAACCGTTTAAATATGCATATGGTTAACTCATATTTGGATTCCTTCAATTCTTCTTCCCTCCTTTTAATGTTTGTGCATACAAATAGTGTTACAATCAATCTTTATGTTTTTTAAACAATTCCGAAGTGTTAAATGAAATAACAGCTTCCTGTCATTTTAACAATTAATTGTTTAAGCTTGTAGCTTTGGTTTTCCACTTTCTAGGGGGTTGATCTCTTTTTACATTAACCCATATCTAACATGCTCAAACGAGTTTTCCCTTTTCTTGTTGGGGTGGCTAGATATTGAATATTATATTCTGAGTGATCCAAGTGATTGTGTTGTTCATTTCTTGGCTTGTAACCTGATAATTGCAATACTTTTTCTTTACACTTGTCATGCAGCATTCTTTATCTCCCCTCCTAAAGCTGCTTTTTTAATCTATTATCAAGGTTCTAGTGGAGGTGGAGATGGTTTTGAAGTTACAAAATTTGGTCATGGACGTGTTGCACTAATAGAATTTCCAAGGTATGCACCTTTATCGTTTGAGTGAACGTGTCCTAATTTTTTAAATAAGTTATTAAAAACTATTGGTAGCTCATGTGTTTGCAAAAGAAGAAGCCTGGTCTTAGTAAGATGATTTTGATTTATCTCACTTAGGATAATATATAGTGATGATATCAATCTACTTGCACAATTGTGTAGGAAAATATATGTACTTACAGACATACTTACATACATGATTTATACTCTATGTTGACATTGTTCTTTGAAAAGGGTTAACTATTGTGTTGTAATGGAATGCAGTGTGGGGAAATCAACTCTTTTAACCATGTTAACTGGAACACATTCAGAAGCTGCATCTTATGAGTTCACAACACTTACATGCATTCCTGGTATCATACATTACAATGATACTAAGATTCAACTACTGGATCTTCCTGGAATTATTGAAGGTGCTTCTGAAGGCAAAGGGCGTGGGAGGCAGGTATAATTTGCAGCTTCTAGTTACCCTGTGATATGTGTTTCCATTCTTGGTAAAACTATCGTTGCCAAATGAGGTAACTGATAAAAGTTAGCTGAATGTGTTTGATTAAATGCTTAATGTGTTTCTTGGTGTATATACGTGGAAAGATAATATAACGTCTCTTTTTTTTCTTTTTGTTTGTACCTATGATGATATGTTCTAGCCATTCTTATGCTTAGTTTAGTTGAATAGTTTCTTGAGTTTAGGATTACTTATGATACTCTTCATTTACCAGGTTATTGCTGTTGCTAAGTCATCGGATCTTGTACTTATGGTTCTTGATGCCTCTAAAGTAAGTATCTATGTCAAAGTAGTAGTTTTTGAATTCAAGATTTTTTAGGAGACTTCTCTCACCTTATGCCTGTGTAATATGATATGAAAACTCCAAAGTGAGGGTCATCGCCAAATATTAACCAAGGAACTGGAAGTGGGGTTTGCGTTTAAACAAGAGACCACCTCAAGTAAGTTCATTGCTAATGTTGTCTATGTGGATCATTATTATTCATTAGGCATCTCCATGTTTTAAAATATCTTAAAGAAAATGCATAATTTTCATATCACAACAGTTTAACATGACTAGTTCAAATTTGTAGAAATAAGAGTAATTCTATGTATTTCTTATTTAATTCAATAGGACATATTGCATCTTTATAAATACAAATATATCTAAATTAGGAAACTCAAGTTAGAAAAGATACTAATCCTAAGAGATATGATTCCTTAAAATAAGGGATTGTAAAAAAACATAATATTTGAAGAATTCATTAACTGAAGGGATGGTAACATCTCATATATTTCTATAATTATTACCCCTCAAGCTGGAGAATATACATTGTACAATCCCAGATTGAATAGGAATTTATTGAAAACAGACTTTGGCAAAGCCTTAGTAAGAATGTCTACAATATGTCCTTCTGAAGGAATGTATGAAAGGGTGGTTGTCTTTTTGTTGACTTGATCAGCAATAAAATACCAATCAATCTCAACATGTTTTGTTCGGCCATACTGAACTAGGTTCTTAGCAATTTGAATGGCATATTGATTATCACACAAAACTTCAAAGTGATCCCCCTGATTAGAGACAATTTATTTTAGTACTTTAAGTAGCCAAATTCTTTTGCATATTCCCAATGCTAGTGCTCTACATTTAGCTTCATCACTACTTCTTGAAACGATAAATTGTTTCTTACTTCTCCAAATTGTAAGGTTACCCCAAACAAAAGTGAAGTAGCCACTAGTGGATATTTTTTCAGTGAGATCTCTGGCCCAACTAGAGTCTGTAAAAATCTTAACAAC